GGGTGAGGGGGGGGTGGGAGGTATCCCCCCGCTGCCACCGTATGTTATGGGGGGGGGGGGCGTGGAGGAACCTCTCCACCTCTTCCGCCATCCATGCCGTTGCTCCCTTTGGGAATGGCCAGTTGCAAAGCTAAGCACTTAGTACTTATCTCGTTAGCTACCTCTTGGCTGTGAGTTCACAGTATCTCTAACAGGAGATGTACGGGAGATCGGGGAAATAGAGGGTGTGACTGTGGGTTAAGTCATTAACACACGCATCTCCCTTACTTGGCCTACTTCCGGCTACTAATATATACACTATACATATCACTTTCATGGCCGACAGTGGCCGGTTACGTACGCATTGTAATTTGGATAACGATGCACTTGGGTTCACCATTCCTAGCTTTCGAGGTAATTCCTACGTCCCCACTCAGGGCCTACTCTCTCTGCCCTAACCCTGTAACATGACACTTTAATAATATCACACTGTATATCCATGACTGATATGAACAGTTCGACTTACTTGGTGTAGGAAGCTCATGGTGTTCCCTCACTCGGGTTTTGGCCCTCCGGGCCTCTGGCTGGCTACTCACTTAACATTTATGTACTCAGATAGATTGATTGATTGATCCGAAAAGATAGCTCCTCAAGTTGTGTTAGCAACTTTATGACCTTCCCCCTGCTGACTCCTGTCTTTGGGGTAAGCTCCACCCCTTCACTAGAGCGAATTTTCACCCAAAAGTCCGTCTCTCGTTGGTCAGCTGGATAAAGAGGGTTGGATCTGCTCAGGCCGTCTCGCTGAGTCGGCACACTGTATGCTTTGGGCGTACAGCCGTTTGCAGTCTCTTCCGCGTGAATCAGCGGTCTAAGCAACGCGACAATTTTCTGCTGGCGTCGCTCTTGCGCATTTTTGCTTCAAACATTACCCTTCGTCTAACTTCTCTACTGGGAACCCAAGATAACTTAATACCTAAAAGTTACAAAAACCCTTGCCCAAATTCTACGGCTTTACACAGTCTATTGTTTTGACTCTACCCTCTAAGCTATTGGCCGGGCCACAACTCTGGCGGTTAATCGCCGGCTTCCCACCTCGTCGGCCCGGGTTAGATACCAGGTCAGATCATGTGGGATTTGTGGTGGACATAATGGCACTGGTTCAGGATTTCTCCGAAAACTTCGGTTACCACTGCCAGTTCTCATTCCGGTGACTGGCACAGTAGGCCAGACAGTGGCTGACGTAACTCAAGATCCTGATAATGCAAGTGTCCTCATGCCTACAGGCAAACTACTCGAGAGCCATCCCAGAGCTAGTACTGGGGTCTCTGTCCATCATTGGAGCTGCGCTGTGCCTTCTCCTGCCAGAAACACTCCACAGAACATTGCCAGTTACCCTGGGGGACGGAGAGGCGTTCGGAGAAGGAGAGGGGATATGGGAATTCGCTTGGTGCCAGAAACCGGACAAGAAATGCCATCATCACAACAGTGCTGTGGACCTGGTGTCGTGACCCGAACTACTTTTGTGGCGCCCATGACCTCAGGGACTAGGACTTCAGAGCAGTGATAAAAGAATCGCTCTAAACTCTGCTACAGGGTGTTCTCTTTATAATGCAACCATACCTTACGGGAATGATAAGAGAGAGGTATTCCGAAATAACGCCTGCCATTCCCGGTACAAATATTGCCCAGTACCCGTCATTCCGTTAGTTAATAATGAAAGCGTAACGGTATTGTGAAGTGACAGACCTTACGCAGACAAATATCAGTATTTAGGTTGGTCACTGTGAACGTTTGTTAGAAGGAGACCTTGTAAAGAAGCCCGTTTTGTAAGGTTACATTCTAAAAAGATTGCTCATATAACGGGTGATTCATCTTTGATGCCGCAGTATTTATAGCGTGTAATCTTCACTGGCATCAACATTTATGTTGTTATGGCACCACCATCTCGTTCGAGGGGTGGCATAGCAATGGGGGGAGGGTTAAAATGACATGACGTGCTCTTAAAAGACTCACAATTTCTTTTCCGTCTCTATCGCTGCCTCTTAAATGCAAAACAACAAATGGATACTCTGTAACATTGACAGCCTTTCTGTGTGTGGAGCCTTATTGACGGACCAACACATTTTTCAGTTTGTAACAGAAAATGAAGGTTTGGATATTTTGGGGTCACGATGCCCAAGAGAAAGGTATGGAATTTAGTAAATGGGTGGTTATACTTTGGAACAGAATGTGTATCCATTGCAACGTGAGAACTGAATTCAATTTCGAGGCATCAGACATCCCAAAATTTCAGTCGACTAGTTTATGAGGTGGAATTAGTAAATTACAAAATGATCAACAACGATGCGCACTGTAGCCGCCCCTTTAAAGAAAATCCGAGTATAAGTAAACAATTCATGCAATGGGAAAACTGTGATCTGCAAGTGATCTTTGACCGACTTTCGAAAGTTTAAAGTTCAAGCGAGATCATTTGGGTATAGATTCCAATAAGTATATTATACAGAATGGTCTAAAGTCCCAATCATTTTGTAGTTTTCTTTCTTCAAATCACGAAACGATTTTTTAGTATGTATAGGAATGTGAAATTTTCTTTCGAACTCTTTTCTTATTTCTCCATGGATCCTAAGTGATACTATTATCAAACATTCTTATATTCATTATCATTCATTATATTCATTATCAGTTGTGTTCTTAAAATAAAGGTACTGTTGTTTAAATAAATTAAATTGGAACCTTATAGAGTCCGTGTGTTTTAATGGCCTGCCTCAGAATAGTTTCGGATATTTGCTAAAGAGATCGCTTTGTTCTACAATGTACTATTGGTTATGTTTCGATCATTCACGCTATAAACAGGCAAGTGTGGCGACATTTGTTATTATATTGTTGAAGGAAGACAACAGAGGGCAGACCTGTCTCTGAAAGAGTGAACTGCATGGACAGCGTGCTGGTGCTATAATCCAGAACTGAAGAAAGTTTCACGTACTATGAACTGAAAATGGTCGATGAGTCCTCCCCAGAATGCATACAAGTAAACCAAAACACAAAAGTAACAGCGCGCAGCACTGTCATGTTTGTAAATGAAATCTCAAATGTGTATTTAACTTAAATATATTTTATTGCCTTTGTAGAACAGCTGAATGTAATTATAGAAAATTTATTTTACTTATATATAAAATAAGAAAAAACCGAGATGTATGAAATGAATACGTTTGTAATTCATAATTGATTGAAAACAATCATCTTTATAAATGGACTCATAGACCAGTATGAATTAAGTTATAAGTTTTAACGGTGTAAAATATTGTTATTTATAAATCTGATACAATTCTACAAAGAAAATATATTAATAAAATATTTTGTACATTCCCAAGCAGCCTCGTATTCTATTTTCTAATTGAATTCTAAATAAACTTCAGTTTGATATTTCTCGACCATGGTGTGACACATTGTTTGGAACTTTGCCTGTTGTCCAAGCTTGTTAAAATGACAACATTTGGGAAATCGGTTGTGCTTCGGTCTTCAGGTGACCAGGATACGAATCAGAGCTATTCTGTTGACCCTTTGGGTGCAGCTCCTCCATGGTTTCAGATTGACTGTACTTAGGGCCCCAAAAGTGGGCTTTCTTTCGTACCCTGGTCACCAGAAGATGGACATCGAGAACCGATATATAAAACATATTGATCTCAATAACCTCGTGTGGCGGTGAAGGCCAAACAATGGTTTAAAATGATATTCGAGTGCCGTAAACTCTCTGCTTGTACAAGAAGACCTGAACTTCAGAGCCTTACGTGTGCCAAATTCCGGCACGAAACCAAAACTACGGTTGCATGAAGACAGGGAGTTTTGCTCAAGCGTTCACTGAATTACTTTTGGAACACGACAGTAGCTAATCCCCCCCCCCTCCGGCTTCATATTAGGGTTGCGAAATACAAGATGTTACTTCCTCTTTCTGACAAAACATCACATCTCCGTTGCAAATATCAGTCAGTTCATGCTTAGAGCAGTGTTTCCCAATTTTATTTGGGCACGCAGCCCTTTTGCGGTCGAAACATTTTTACGCAATCTACGGGTATAATCAAATTCTCATACACGGAGATGATAAAAGTAGGGGAGAGGGAAGTAGGATAATAACAAATAAATGTTGAAGAAAATATAAGATCGAAATATTATTTAATTGCACATGTTTACAAACAAAAATCACCTTTCAAGTGTGCGGAAAATAGCTTATAAATTAATTATGTCATATATTTGCAACAGTTATTGCAAAGATGATTTTTTTTACCTCTTGTTTCGTTAACAGACTATATTTGGTTTTATACTGTAAAGTTGAATTCTAAAGGCTCCAGCCCCACACTTGGTCTGTTTTACATTTGATGCTGCGTGATTCGAGAACGCGGTTTCGTTGGAGAAGGGCATCCGCTGACGAAACGCGTTGTCCACTCATGAAAAAGCACTTTTTAGTTATTATATTAACTTCTGCCTCTGAAAAAGAGATTTCTCACCCAAATAATCTCCAAAATATGCATTATTTTAAGTAAAACGTATGGTATGAATATTTAAATAATTTTCTTTTGCCTTTTGTTATGCCACCTGTTATGCCGTGGTGACAGGGGGCGTGGAGGTATCCCCGCTGCCACCTTCTGTACTGCAGTCACAGGGTGTGGGCTAAGGAAACTGCTCAATTACTTCCTCTATCGTTGCTTCATTGGCTAGGGGCACACTGTTCACCGGGCTTGGCAGGAGGGCGCAGGTGCGAGATGTGGTAAGGGAGGACATCACAACAACAGAAACCCACATCCTCACCCTATGCTACCCTATATTAGTATAAACAATCAATACACAACTATATACACTTTAGTAATATCACAATTAAAGAGTCGACTGGTGTCGGATTACACATTGCACTTTTCTTAAACGATTCTTGGACCTCATCTTAGCCTTCCTTTCACCCAGTTGTGGGTTGCTAGTCTCCTCTTTCTCCTATTCTACTCATCCACTATACATATCTTTACACATCCCTGCATCTAGACACCCCCTCTGCAGCCTCTATATTACACCTGTCTACCTCTGCATTTCTCTGATGAATCACTCTTACGCCCTGTACACTTGTCGTAACGTTCCTAACTCATGTCCCATTGGGGGAGATACACTTTAATAGTATCACAGTTATTAAGCATGGCGATAAGAGTAGTTCCACTTACTTTGGGTTGAGTCTGCAGACGGATGGCGTTGCGTGGTGTCTAGTAGGTTCCCCTTCCGGCATGGCCTTCGGCCGCAAATGGGCCAAAATTACTGTTTGAATCATTTTGATAATAATTTGCTCTCTGGGTTATATATCTTTATTCTTGCTAACTCATTACTTTCCCGGAGGGTGCAGTCTCGCCTCCAATGACGTCTTATCCCAAGGTGGCGGCTCCCGTTGGCCGGGATCCGTAGGGATGGATACGCCCCTTGTCTGCTAGACCATTTGGCTAACACTTTTACCTGCAAACGTCCCTCCCTTCACTCAAGTGTAGATTCTGTAGTCAGCAGTTCGATATACCTCCAACGTCATTCTGCTGACAAGACATCGACGCGTCAAAGGCTAACGTCCGTCTAACTCCATACGCAGAAATTCCTTGAAGTTTCTTAACCCTTCTTACATCCTCTTTCGTACGTCTTACAAGTATTTCCCAAAACTAATTCTACTCTAGCCAACATTTTCCCCTAAAATACAAAAAGTTAAATATTCTTTTAACATACTACCGGGAGTCGGCCTTCAGGGCACAACACCCTTTAATGAACATTTCTTGTAGAGCTCCGCGGTTCCACAGAAGACTGTTTGGGGAAACAATTACACTTTCTGAAACTAGTGCAAATGCGAGCGCTGCCTGCGCTAGAACAAAATTTAGCTATATTCTTTACGAATTTCCATTTGTGTTAACCCTCGTTTGCTTCAAACTGGATTCGAAACGCAAAACTTCGGATGCTTCCTTAAGCGAAGGAAAGACGTGAAGTGTTCCTGTGCAAGCACCACGCCATTAAGACTTGGAAAGTGGAGGTATAGCTCCACCATTCTTGATCTTGGTACTAGATGGATGTGAGTGGTTAGCTTCACGGCCCGGCCGCTTTACCTCCCGGGGAAAGAGTCTACAGTACCCATTGGATGGAAGGCTGAGTGGGCCCCAGAGGCCGTCTGGACGCTATCGAGAAAAGAAAAATCATACCCCTACCGTTACTCGAACTCCGACCCCTCGACCGTCAGACCATAGCCTGTCACTATATCTACTGAGCTATCCCGGCTCTTGAATATTTAATTCAGTAAAATTATATATATTTTTTCTCATATTAAATTTTTATTCACGCCAAAAAGGAGGCTGTAAAAGTATGTTGTAGATCGTGATGAGATCTGTAAAAAATATCATGTGCAATTTTTAAAGGGTGTGTCTTCTGAAAACAGACAAATTCTCTCACCTTCCGTACTGCAGAAGGCCGGCAGAAAAAAAAAACACCCAACGTTTAGAGAAGCACCCCAATATCAAACTCCGCTGAAATCCGCTTCATAGTTCTGAACACGAAACACGTGAACTGGACGCAGCAGTTCCGTGTTATGCCGTCAGTTTAAGCAGAATAAATTGTCAGTCAAAACGTTATCTAAGTAATGCATTTGAATTTCCGCCAGGGTTTAGTCGCCTTTCATTGTAGTTCCGAAAATCTCTGCCAGATAGCAGCCAACATCAGCAAGGCCATGATACTTCGAACTATCAGGTGAACAAACCATGAGTTCAGTCAGCCTGTGGTCTCCAGGGTTATGACACTATAAATGTGAGGGTGACTGCAAACGTCAACTTCTACTGGTTTCACCTAACCTGGAGACTGAGGCAATTTGAACTTCCGAAACGGTGGAAACTATTTACACTGTCATAACCCTGAAGGCCACAAACGATGACATGGGGATTACTGTTTTCTAGGACATGACGCCATGTATAGTGGTACACGGTGCAAATGTTTCGGAAGGCTCTGCTACCGTCATCTTCAGGGTAGGAGAGACAATTCTGCTCTGAATATGGAAGAAACAGGTTCTTCGGAAACGTCGGTAGCTATCTGCCAAACTGAACTGTATCATATCTCAGATGAGAGTAATCTTCATTATCACCGCTGTGAGATCTTCACAGTTTAAATATTCATCGTGTTTTCGCGGCAACGTTCTAGACTCCTATTCTACAGTTCGGCTATCCTGAGTGCCTATTCGAGTTCCCCTTCAGTGTTGTAGACGTAAATACCAAGATAGGGTATTATGAAATAAACATAAAGTAAACGCAAACTATCAAAGGTAAAGGATATTTTATTAATTATTTCTTAGCATAAACTGTATAAATCATCACATTAATAGTGTATACCTAGGAACAGGATACAGAGAAACTAGTCAGGCTGCTCTTCGAGATGGCCCGTTTCTATGCCCCCAGCACAATATTTATAGACGAGATTGACTCCAGAAAGAGGTCAGAATCAGAACATGAAGCAAAAAGAAGAGTGAAGTCGGAGCTTCTAGTTAAGATGGATGGAGTTAGTTCTAGCAGTGAAGATCCTACTAAGCTAGTTATGGTTTTAGCAGCAACGAGGTTTCCCTGGGACATTGATGATACATTACGGAGAAGACTGGAGAAAGGGATATATATTCCTCTTCCAAATAGTGGTGGACGTGAGACACTATTAAGAATTAATCTCCGAGAAATAAAATTGGATTCAGATGTGGATCTAAAGGATATTGCAAAGAACTTAGAAGGCTACTCTAGGTGTGACATCACGTCGGGGTCACCAATGTGGAAGTCGTTGATGATCTTAACCACACGCGCTTCCAATCACGTCGGGGTCACCAATGTGGGATGTCATATGAAGAAACAACCACTAGTTGAACTGTCCTATAGGACTTATTGCAGCTGCACAGTATACACAGACGGATAATAACAAGAGTGAACTGTAGAATCTAGAACTGGTATTGTAGAACGGTAGAACTAGACTGTCACTGTAACTCAGTGAATCTTTTTATGTAGCCTGGAGTCGGACATATAGAAAACGGTTACGTAATAGGTACTGCTGTTGCCGGTTACCGTGTTTACAAGTTCCCTAGCAACCGCTGTTTATTCGCTTTTGCCTAGCAACCGTTGTTTACTCGTTGTTGCTAAGCAATGACGCTTGCGTTGTCACACTTGCTTGAATGTGGGCAGTTCCCACACATGCTTTAGCAATCATCCTATGCTAAAGGGTCTAGATATTGACAATGTCATTACATAAGCAACAGAAAAAAACACCGCTGTAAAACTTTAAAATCTCATACCTTAATTTATTTCCGATATTCATAATCAATGACGGGTTAAGCTAGTTCACACACAGCCCCACGAATCACAACTATTGAACAGTTTTCTTTTTAATTCTCTTAGTGGGGGGTGGAGTTCAACTTGGTCCACTCGGCACGGCAGCCACTGAGTGGCCTATTGTAGCCTGCCCCGGGTCATTATGATGATGGAGAATTTAGTGGAATTAAGACTGGCAGGGGAAACCGAAGTACTCTGAGAAAACCCGCCCCAGCACCTCTTTGTCCACCACAAATCCCACTCGACCAGACTCGGGATCGAACCCGGGCCGCCGCGGTGGGAAACCAGCTACTAACCGCTTGAGCTATGGCGCGGCCTATTGTACAGATACTGTCAAGACATGTAAGATTCTCTGAAATATCAGGGTTTCATTTTGGGCGGAGAGTGAATGAGCGATAACTTTATTACCGTCTGAATTACCGGCGTCAATTATAGTCCCCGCTAATAAGAAGATGGCAGCAGAATCGTTGAGTACCGTCCCCAACCAATAAGAACGAGTTGACTGAGTGTAAAGTCAGTGGTATGGTGTTGCGAATTCTAAGGTGGTCTAGGTTACAGTCGTTACGAGAGCAAACAGGATAATTGCTTGTGCAGATATGTCTGTTATTTATAGAAATGCTATTGCTATCGCCGATAAGTTCGTGCCCCCGAAACTTCAACCCCTATGGAACCACGAAGCAGGTAAACCCGTTATATTTTGTTATCCCTGGGCATAGATACTTGCTCAAGTCATTATTAATTACTCTTTCAGAACTTTTCTGCTCGATGACGTCAGGAATTACGTAATACTGTGCTTACATTTCGAAGCATTACTAGCCACCGTAAACAATCTTTGTTTACGGTTGCTAGTAATCGCATAGGTTATAAAATTTACAGTTAGGGCATTCTACGGCTACTTTAGCTCAGTCGGTACAGCGACCGGCAATGGGCTCGACGGCCGGTTGCAACTGATTTTTCTCTTTGCTATAGCGTTCTCGCCGGATGTGCGGCCCATTCTACCTCCTATCCATTGGGTACCAAGGGGCTTTTTCCCCATGGGTAAAGCGGTGACAGGGTGAAGTAGGCCACTCACCTCCACCTAGGGCTGAGGGTTAAGAATGTGTGGTGCATAAGTAGGACAACTTCATATTTGGAAAATGGCTCAGACCCCCTGACAAATCTTACTCCATAGGATTTGTTTCTAATATCCATTAACTCATGTCAGATACTGTGTCCATATTATGAAAATGGCCCATATTACCTGATGTTTAGCATAAGATTATACCTTTGTGATCAATTTTACTCTTCATATATTAATGGCATAGGTTAGTTATATGTGGAATGAACAGAATGAGAAATGTGTGTTAGGAAACAGTAGTGACCATCTTGGCATACCGTTCTTATTCAGCCCCATATTGTGGCAAATGTTCTAACACTGCCATTTGGCCAGCTGTTGTCTTTATTTTTATTACCAGTATCATCAGTAAACCTTGCAATTATTTAGCATTTAAATAACCCAAACATTTTGGATTCCATAAGAGACGGGCAATTTCATGAGTATCTGGGTGAATATTACATTCTAAAGAACTGTGCTTCATGTAGTCAGTGAGTGAGACAGTCAGCAAATTACAGCTGAACTGTCATCTGTTCAGTTCAAATTAAAATGTTGTTCAATTATTGGTTGCAGGTCCAAAAACAATCTTCTTCTGGGCTCCAGCCTTCAAATGGGTAAGTCTCTTTTTAGTGAACATGTAACTTCTGGGAATAATTCATATTTAGAGCAGCCACATTCCAGGCTACATGACGTTACAACCCAGAAGACAAGTGTCTGAAGTCTCACTGCTGTGAAAACTAAAATCTCACATACTGTATCATCAGTTCTGCCAGTCCTTGAAACTTCTGATGCATTTTCTCAAAGGCCTAAAGAAAATATGCAGTATCATCATTGTCATCCTTTCCAGTTGAAACCTGCCTTGGATAGTACAAAACAGAATCCTTCCATTGTTCCAGAGATCTCAAACTTTCCTCTCTTTTTGGTTGTCTTTTTAAGCCTGTCTTGGCCTCTCTCTGGTTATGTTCTTTCTAATTTATTCTTTACCGTTCTATGAAGTCCATTATTTTTTTAACTTTATAGTTCCTTCATAATTTCCTTTATGGTCCAGAGAAGTGGATCCTGCAGTCCTCATAAAACATATTTCTGCTGATATCTTATCTGATCAGTTCTTACTGTCCATGATTCACGAACATAATGTAATGTTGGTGCAGCAAGTGCTCAGCAAGTTCATATTTGTGCTAAGTTGTGTTAATGATTTAGGAGTGTGAGTTAAGTACCACATATTCACCAAGTATCATGTGAACTGTGTTGGTTTACAGAGCCTTGTTATTGCTGGATTGGGGGACCTTGCTCGCCCAGCTGAGAAGATCAGCATCGCACAGTCAGCTGCTCTTAGCGCCACGGGCCTTGTCTGGGCACGCTACTCCATGGTCATCATCCCCAAGAACTACAGTCTGCTTAGTGTCAATGTGTTTGTAGCCCTGACTGGCCTGTATTCGCTGGCAAGAGCAGTTAAGTAAGTACATATTGTTGAATTGTCTCAGAGGAACAGTTCTGTCTTCTGGGATGCGAAGCCATGAAGTCCAGTGGAAGTTCACTGATGTTTCAGAGGACTGTACTGCCTGTGTCTTCATAGGTGAACAGTAAACCAAGCAAGAAACCAGCAAAAAGCAAAGAAGAGTAAACTTCACTTTCCACCTGCTAATTGCTGATTTTTACTTGGTTTACTCTCAAACTCTGAAGATGGAGGCAGTACATTCCTCCAAAACATCAGTGAACTTCTACTGGACTACATGGTGTTACATCCCAAAAGACAGAACTCTGCTGTGAGGACCTCAGATCCTTTGCAACTAATTTGGATACCTTGTATAATATAGAAACATGACTCAAATGAAAATTGGTCAGTTGGTTCAGATGTAGAATTGGTGGACAAGCAGTGCCAACAGCATGGTGATATAAGTCTGAGTATTTCCTTAAGATAGGAAAGTGGGCTAAAAGTACGTGTAAGTCTTCAGTATAGTGTTCTGTGTGTTATCAATTTTCTATGTGATGTGATATGATTTGAAGACTTGAATTATATAATGTTTGTAAGAGCTTGTTTTATATTTCAGTTATCAATATAATGTTAAGGGCAAGGACGTAACTGCAACAGAAACTGTCACCAGCTAATGAAGTCACGATTCACACCGAGACAAAGTTTTTATACATAGAAACAGCTGTTCAATCAAGAAGCGGAGAGTTTGACTTTTACATAGTTTTAACTTTGCCATATAGTGTTGTTAGTGCACACTTTTAGATTACATTATACAATTAAAATAGCAGGTTAAATTGTTGTTACAAAATGTTAAGTTTCAAATTTTTTAATGTTGTTGATTATGTATATTCTGCTGTGCAGAAAATTAAGTAAAAAATACTGAAGTATGTTATAATATACTGGTATATATTTATTTTTAAATAACTTGAGTTTTCAACGTTCAAACATGTTCATACAGTTTCATTGGCATGTAGGTATAATTATTTTAGTTTTAATATTTTGAGAATATATATAATAGATCTCGGTAAAAACTTATATATCCCCCATAAATAACCTTCAAATTCGAATACTCACTGTGAAATACAACATATCGATATGAAATGTAAATCTGCTTTATAAACCAAAGCAATAAGATTTAGATGTTACGCAAATTTCAAAAAGTAATTACAAGTATGTGCCATGTTGCCTTCTAGCATACTGAGGTTATGCTCTCCTACATATGTCTCAGTTCTGCATAAACATGTAAATCACATAATGTGTTCACAACAGTAATTGTTTAATTATTATGAGTTAATAATTTTAGCCTCTTATGGTAAACTTGTGCCATTTTACTCACCATTTTGATCTGTGTGGAATCTCTATTGAAGACACAACTTGACTGACACTGACTGGCTGCTTCATCAAAAAATGTTTTTGTCATATTTTGTGCTGCACTAAACTCACATATTCACCAGAATAGATTTCAATATGTAAAAGTTCTGAATGAATTGTTTGTTAAGACACAAAAAATGTCATGATTTTCTAGCACAGATCTTTCACACTTCAAACACAACTCCACTAGTTTTCTGATTGTAACATCAGATGGCAGTCTGCTGCTTCTGGACATAATAGTGAAAGAAAGACAAACTAGAATAATCGGTGATCGAGAACTCCAGAAGGCACAGATATTTGTCACAAAATTTTAATCTCAGAATAGCAGCAAACTACGAAATCATCGTGGAAAAACTAATATACTCTGTGAAGTTGTCCCTACCCCATCATGAAGGTGTGTGCAGGAATGGAGGTGGTCTACCATTCTTAACCTTGGCACTGGATAGAGGCAAGTGGTCAGCTTTATGCTCTGGCCGCTTTAACCCCAGGCAAAGAGCCCCTGGTACCCATTACAGTGTTATTGTATTTAATAATATGACAGTAATGCATTCTTTTATTTTTAAATGTAAGTGAATTACCAGGGGCAGTCACTTGGTTCTAATTTCATGTTACTAAGTGATTAATGAGACAACCTAACTGAGAAGGGAGGCACACAAAGAATAGAACAAGGTTGAAAAAGTTTTGCAAAAGCACTGGAATGCTCCTATGTTGCAGAACCGATAGAGACAATTAAATGCTTATTTTGAGAAGTTCAAGACATGCAACAATGATCCTCAGAAATCCAGAGTTAAGGAGAAGGCATTAAGATGGCAAATCAACTGAAATCCATATGGACAAATTGTCATTCTGTCAGTCACATGAGTTGTTACTACTGTAGTTATGAACTAATTAAAAACAACTAAAAATTTCATGCATACAAATTGTTACAGTCTTTAACAGATGTCTCCAATCTCACCAACTGTTTCAATGGTAACCGTTGACAGGCATGAACCAAAATGACAGATTTATTTATTTATTTACAAGTACATGATAAGGATTAAATATATGAAATAAAATGTGTCACTGATTACAGCCTCTTATGTTGTTTTGAAGATTAAATTATAATAGCTGTTATGTGTATCAGTACTGCAGATCTGACACTGAAAATAGTAATCATCATCATCATCATCATCAGTAATCTGTCAAGACGACAGGTCCACAGTCTCTCCCAAAACAATTCCTCCACTTAACGCGATCTAGAGCTTTCTCCTTCAAATGACAGTATCCTCTTCTGTCCCCAAGGTCATCCAGCATCTTCTTACATCTTCTTGTCACTTCTCTCTGACCCTTTATCTTTCCTTCAATAACTTCTTTTAGAAGGCAGTTTCTCCGTAAAACATGATGGATCCAATTAGCCTTCCGTTTTCTTATTTCGTGTAGGATATTCCTCTGCTCACTGACTCTAATTAACACTTCTTCATTTCTCACATAATCGGTCCAACTGATCTTCTCCATCCTTCTCCAACACCACATTTCGAAACTTTCCAGATGTTTCTGATCTACTGCCCTAAGTGTCCATGTTTCAGCCCCATACAGAGCTATGCTCCAAATGTAGCATTTCACTAGTTTCTTCCTCAAATTTAAGTCCAATTTGCTGGTAAAAAGATTCTTCTTCTTGCTAAATGCAGCTTTTGCCATGGCAATCCTGGATTTAATTTCACAAGTACACCTTCCATCATCTGTTAACAAGCTACCCAAATATTTAAAACATTTCACATTCTCCAGTTGTTTTTGGTCTATCTTTATTGTGACTGGGGTTGGTTGTCTCGAAATTTTCATTACTTTTGTTTTCTCCACATTCATTTCCATGCCATAGCACCTTCCAATTTCAATTAGTCTATCAATCATGCCCTGTAGCACAGTTTCTTCCTTAGCCATTAACACAAGGTCATCTGCATATTTCACAGTTTGAATAATTTGCCCTCCTACTTTGAAGTCACCGAGCCCATCCAGAGCTTCCTTGGTAAGGCATTCGCTGTACAAGTTGAACAGAATTGGTGATAAACAGCATCCTTGTCGAACTCCTCTTCCAATCTGCACACTTCCTGTCTCCCCCCTGTCCAGTCGTACTCTAACTTTCTGATCCATGTACAATTTGCTAATCAATCTTCTTTCATGCCAATCGATACCTGTTTCTTTCAGGATCTGCATTAATTTGGTCCAGTTTACCCGGTCAAATGCCTTCTGCCAGTCTATGAAGCAAACACACAGTTCTTCATCTATCTCCAAAGTTCGTTCCGCTATAATTCTCATCATCCCAATTGCATCCCTGGTTCCTTTTCCTCTTCTAAATCCAAACTGATCTTCTCCAAGTACATCCTCTATTTTCCTTTCAATTCTTCTTTTAAGTATCTTTGCTATTATCTTTGCTGTATGTGCAATAAGACTTATTGTGCGATGGTCGCTGCATTTTGTAGCTTTTGTCTTTTTCTTTAAGGCAATCATTGTAACTTCTGTAAAGTCCTTGGGCCACTCTCCACTTTCATATATGGTGTTCATTAGTTTTGTCAGTGTTTTCAAACCACCTTCTCCCAGTAACTTGAGCACATCTCCAGGTACATCATCATCTCCTGTAGCCTTTCCCTTCCTCATTTCCTTGATAGCTTTTTCCACCTCACTTTGTAAAATATATGGTCCTTTCTCGTCTGTATCTACTTCTTCTTCCGGTTCAACTTCTAAGGTTTCTGGCCGATTAGGTCGATCATATAGTTCTGAAATATAATTTTCCCAAATTTTCAGCACTTGCCTCTGATCTACTATTCTATTCCCCTGGGAGTCTTCGATGCCAACATTTTGAATCCCATGATTCTCTTTCCATCCTAGTTCTTTTGTCTTCATGTACATCAAATCATAACGGCCTGTTCTTTGAAATTCCATAATCTCATTACATATCTTCTCAAGATATTCCTTTTTGGCCCTGTCCGTGGCTCTTTTCAATTCATTCCTCAGTCTCCTGTATTTCCTCCTGCCTTCTTCATTGTTGACATTCTTCCATTTCCTTCGCTCCTCCATTTTACTCATCATCTCCTGTGTAACCCATGGTTTTCTTGCTATCTTCTCAACTTTACCTACCAAATCACTGATAGTATCTAACATGCATTCTTTTATATCGTTCCACTGCGCTTCAGCATTTCCGCTTTCACCTTCAATTGCACCGAGTTTCTCTTCTAGAGTCTCTTGCACGCTTTGTCTTTGAGCATATAACTTCTCCAAATCCCATCTGGGTCTGCGCTTTCGAAATCCTATAATTTTCTTCAACCTGGTTCGGAACTTGGCAACCAGCAAGTTGTGGTCAGAGTCAATGTCTGCCCCAGGAAGCGTCTTCACATCCTTCACACTGTTTCTGAATCGATGTTTCACAAGGATGTAGTCCAGCTGATGCCTCTTCCAATCCCCAGGTGCCTTCCATGTGTAAATTCTTCTCTTTGGCTTCTTGAACCAAGTGTTGGTAACAATCAATCCATTTCGTTCACAAAAGTCAATAAGCATTTGACCTCTGTGATTCCGTCTTCCTAGTCCATGTGATCCAACAATATTCTGATATGGTTCATCTCCAACAATGCTGTTCCAGTCTCCCAATATGATGCTGTTTGTGTCTCCTCTTCCATCTTCCTGAAGAATTTCTTCAATTGTGTCATACACTTTTTCCACTTCATCATCTTCATACTCTGATGTTGGCATGTACACTTGTATAATCAGTATATCTACCGGTTCCGCCTTTAACTTCAGAGCAATAATTCTGTCATTACAAGCAATCTTCTTAACAACACTCCTCACTACACTTTTATGCACCACTATTGCCACACCTCTTTCAGCCCGTTCACCTCCGGAATAATACACTGTATAATCACCGCTTCTTATTTCACCTTGTCCTTTCCACCGCACTTCGCTGACACCTAGCACAGACACTTCATTCTTCTGCATTTCCGTTTTCAAATTCTCCAATTTTCCTGCTTGATTCAAGGTCCTGACATTCCATGTTCCAATCTTGTATCCATGCTGTTTCTTCTGATCTTCGCACTTTTTCTTGTTGTAACGCCTGCATGACATTTCCTCTAGAAACACTCCTCCCCGGAGATCCGATTGGGGGAGTAGTTTACCTCCGGATTGTTTTGTCTCCAGAGGAAACATCTCGCATACATGGTATCTCTGTTTTTGGAAAGAGACTATCCAGGAAAAGTGATAATGTGGTAGTTTTTCCATTTGCTTTCCACATCGCAGTACAGCAGCCGTTCAAACCACTCTGGTCACGCCTGTTGCTATACGAACTTGAACCATCTCGAGCATCATTTGCTCTGTGCTTCAAGTCGCTACTGATGACGCTGCTTCCGGCATCAGTTTTTGGTGTCTCTCTTCGTCTGATGCCTACCCTTTGACCTGTCCAGCAAGGGAGGCCCTGCCAGTAGCTACGCTACTGCTGGTATAGCTCTCAGGGTCCTTGGCATACTCAAACCCCCTCACCATGATAAGGCGGAGACACCAACGAGGAAGAAAATAGTAATATTGTGATAAATAAAAGCATAGAAATTATATTAATAATAGGTCATCTTCTATTTTTCTACAAATATATAGGTTTTTTAATCACTCAGTTCAATTTGTTGCATGCTAGTTTCATCTTGCTTGCTTACAAAATAGGTTGGGGAAAGATCCACAGTTTTTGAAAATCTCTTTTATCTCATAAGCATTGAAAATAACATGAAAGAACTTGGGGCATATGCTTACAAGAGAAACGTCAGTGACTCAAGATTAGCATGGTTGTGTTGTGTCTTAAAGTTGACCATGTGCTGAATTAAGTACCAAATCATAAAGACATTGGGGGAACTGGAGGTGTAGCTCCATACAATCATAATTTCAGCACCAGATGGAGGTGAATGGTCAGCTAAACATTGAGGCTGCTTCCCCCCCACCCCAAGAAAGAACTGAATTACCCGATAGCTAGGAGACTCTGTGGGCCTCAGGGTTAGTCTGAATTGGCCTGAATGCTGTGGAGAGATAAAAATCCCTGCAGGGAATCAAATACTGCCTCACCAGTCATGCAGCACATAGCCTAATCACTACATTGACTGGTCTACTATGACTCGTATGTGAACAACATGCAAAATAAAACCTCTTAAGAACTGGTCACATGGAAGTATGAATCCAATGACATCAGGCATCAAACCTGCAACCTTCTGGCTTGTAGCGTAGTGCCTCAACCAACTATGCTACTGTCTGCCTTTTATATACCCATTAATATCACACAAAACCATCCTCAATTTGTCTCAAGCTTAACTTACATGCCCCTGAAAGATAAGTATGAAAGTGATATTAATCCTGATTTATGAGTCCACTGAGAGGAAAGTTTGAGTCATCTTGTCCAAACTTCGAGCACAGCTAAAATTCAGCAGATGTTATGAAGTAACATGACAGCTCTTTGTCAGTTTGTTTACAGACTTTATTGTTATCACATACTGTACAATCACACCATAACAGAAAAGTATAACCAATATAATAAACATGAATACTGCTTTGGACATTGTCTGTAGTCTTGAATTTTTTCTGACATGTTTTGGAAACTGGATACTTCCATCATCAGGTGTAAGTGAAGGATGCTGCTTGGTTGAGCCCATTATAAATTGGTAGTCGGAATCACTGGACCATTGATCCAGTTTCTGAAACATGTCTGAAACTCGAAGACGATTGATAGAGTCCAAAATAATTATCACATTTACTGTCAACACACCATCACCAAAAACACTTAGACCTAACATAATGAATATTTCAGTTCTCTCAGTAATAACTAATTTGACTTAAATCTCTCAAGTATTACAGCATACTCCCAAATTATCTAGCCTACTCTTAAATTTTCATCACTTGTACAAATATTTCAATGTTTACAAAAAAAGTACAACAGACAGTAAGTGTTTATTATTTGGGTACCATGTGATAAAGATGTAAGGAGAATGAAGGAACAGCCCCACACATTCTTCACTAGGCACTATATGGAGGCAGAAAAGAGCACCTGGTACCACTGGATAGAAGGACAGATGGGTTCTAGACCTGGTCTTTACACAGTGGTAAAGATAACCATCCCTGTTCCCTACTGGAAATTAGACCCTGGTTATGACCACAGTTTTCTAGGATGTGATGCCTTACAGTTTGGTAGATGGGTACTGATATTTGAGAGGAACCTGATGCCTTCACCTACCATGAAGAGGGAGGCAGCAGATTCCTCTAAAATATTGGCAATGGGGTACCACATAACCTTCAGTCTCCAGCATGAAAATCTGAAATCACACATAATAAGAACTACCAAAATTGTAGTTCAATAATTTTGGTATGAAAATACAACTGCTGTAGATCAGTGAATTTATTATTATACACCTCCAACCATCGACTCAGATAACTGGCAGCATACTGTATTTTGATTAAAAACGTCTTAATGTAAAAAGATGGTATCATTTTGACTTTTAAATTTAGAAAATAAATGGTCTTAATTATTTATAATATTTTTCATGTGTACATAAAGAGTTGCATGATTTCTTCACTGGTTATCACATCATTCATAACAATATTTCCAACATGCACATTCAATAAGCTATTCCATGTACTCTAAATACATTTATAATATCAAATTTTATAAGCTGTTCAATTTAATCATCAATTAGGGTAGTTAAATATGAACAGGAACACCAAAGAAAAAACATGGGCATATCTACAAAGACAGAAGAATCCCTTATGATCTCAAAATATCCTGCTGTTTCCAAGGTAATTAATGCCTTAACCCATTCAAGGTCACAATAAAAATATTCACGCCTCTGCTAGGTGCTCCTGGCAGATCGCCATGTGATGTTTTAAAATATCCCACTTGTTTCCTAGGCATTATATTGCCAAGTGGCAAAAACAAACGCATGGGAAGTTTGCTGAACAGATTTGGTAGTACTTCCTCACAAGGTACTTCTTAGTAACAGGCAAGAGATAAGAGTCGCTTGAGGTTTCAAATTATTTTCTTAATTATTTAATGACACTGTGTACTGTATATGTTGTATGAGACTGGATGATAAAGTACAGTTACGAAGTGTAGGCTCAGAATAATAGGGAAGGGTGGTGATCAAGTTCTGAAATGCAGTCTTCGTATCTACATATTTAATAATTTTTGATGTTTGATACAAATAAGAAAAAACAATATTAACATCAAATCTAAGAGGATGTTGAAGTGACTACAGACTAGTACTGGAGAATGGTCCAGTGCAGTTGGCTAAGACATTAACCTTACAAGTGCCAAACACTGAAAATGTGGACCTTATGCATATGCTGATGTTACCACATTAAAAAATGTTTACCTATATAAAGGCTTATTTCAATAGAATGTGATATCTGTTGGCATTTCATCTGATCCACACATCCACAAAATATGAAGTGAATTTTTCCGGCATCACAAGTTCTTGGGAAATTTTGTATATTTTTTCTCATAAAAAAAAATAGCTGCTCTGAAGCCTGAAAGTTGGCATTTCTAAGGTTAAGGAAAAGCCATAAAATCAGTCTTCATAGTGTAGCAACAGAATGAGATTCAAACCACAAACTTCCTAAACCCAAATGCTTTCCTCTCTTTTATCTTATGTAATATATATATATATATATGCATTCCAGACATTACTGTACTCTGAACCATACAGTACCATGCTACAAATGCAGTGGAGGGAGATGCTGAGATCTGTCAGTTCTTTGTAGGCAATGGGCAGATAATGCATGTGTTTGTGAAAATGGATGTCACAGAACAGCTAGGTAAGACTTCCAACTGTTGGCATGCAATGCATTTTTTACAGAAACTGCAGCACAAATGTTCCAATCCCTTATTTCGTATACAGTTCAGTGAAAGAAAATTCTTCAATCTCCTGTTTCTGATTGTTTTACATGATACATAAACATCATAATATATGGCATAGTGGAATTTAAATTATTTAGAAAATAAGGAAGGACACATTTCTCAACCGTAAATTCAATTTCACATGAAAAATAACAACATTCAAAATTGTGAAAAAACAAAGAAGAATAGTAAGCCATTGTGCTGACAAGCTTAATCCATATCATCTAGGGCAGGGTACTTATCTGCTGCTATGAGATTAGTAGAAAGATTTTAAATTGGGGGTAACTTATAATTTGGGACTAAAAGGTAAAGCTATCCCTGTAACAGCCCGTGAAGGCCCACAGGGTTGTGAGATGTTGAGGTTCCCACATTTTCTAGACAATCGGCTCATAGATGGCGGTGATGTTGTCAGCCTTATATGCCGGCCACCCTTTACCCCCAAGAATATTCCAAGAATATTCCTGGTACTCATTTCTGTTAGAGGCTGAGTCGACCCCGAGGCCATAGTGTGGCTGGAAGCATTAGATCAATTGAAAAAAATCCAATGACCTCATCAGGACTCGAACCCGCAACCTTCCGGCTTGTAGCATAATGACTCAACCAACTAAGCTACCACGTTAGGAAAGTTTAAATCTGATTCTACAGGCTAGTGTCTTGTGGACCTGCAGGGTCATGGCATTAGTAATGTAAGGATGCAACATTTATTCATGAAGAAAGCAGTCTTCTGGGATTTGGCACCGTACGGTGCCAAATCCCAGAAGACTGCTTTCCTCATAGTCACCGCTGTGAAAGCCTCAAATCTTACAACATTTATTCAGCCAGAACAAGCATGCACTGTTGCAGTAGCACAATGCATGGCTGGTAAAGATTTAACATTCAAGGGATCTGGTGATCCCTGGCCAATTTGGTGCAATTTTCTCCCTTGTAAAGAGCTATAATGCATCAAAGTTCTTGTATGTGAGGGAACCAGAAAAATCCAATATGGTGCTAATCATAATGAGCAACTACATTCAAAAGACATGTAAAGTCACTTTCCAAACACACAATCAATGTGGTTTTCACTACAGACTGCACTGGCTATAAAGTGTCCAACTGCAATACGAAGGTGGGATACATGGAACATGTAAATGAAGCTCCACATATTCTAGACCTTGGCTCTGCTTACATCACTGGAAGCAGTCCCAGGTAACCACTGCATAGGAGACTAGGTGTGGAAAACTTTACCTTCACAATAATCAAATCCTAATCATTGAACCCACAATAAATTGTTTTGAACTGTGATATTCCAGCACACCTGGGCCAAATTTAATCAAAAACCCATAGAACACCAAGATTAATCTATAAAAAAAGAGAAAAACTTCAATTATTCAGAAAACATAATTATAAACACAACACAGTGTTGCCACAATATTAATTTGTTCTTCTCCCATTAGAGCCATCATCAGTAATTCGTCTGTTATTGGCTTCACGACGAGCTCGTAGAAGCAAGGTGAGATTTTCCACAATGTTGCGCCGAATCTGAGGTGAGATGCTACATTGTCTGAGGATACTCTGTCTGATCTGTGATAGCCCTTGCAACACAGAACTGTTGCGGCCATCTCTTGCATACCGCGAAGGCTGAGCTGACAAACTCACACCCTGCCTTGTGGAAGTACTGTTTCTCACGCAGTCCAAGCTCAATGCTGCTGTGTGCTGTGGGGAATGACTCTGTGTTTCACGCCGTATGCATGGGACAGCAGGATTTGTGACTGCAGAAGTCAACCCCAGTGATGATATAAATGATGATAGCTGACGCTGACGAACACAGGCATCTTTGTGTGAAAGAATGACAGACGTAATAACAGGCTCTACTTGACTACCACTACCTGCATGGCCTCCTTGCATGATGTTTCTGACACCCTCTGCTCTAGAGTTGCTACTTCCAAGGGCTTCACTACCATGTAACTGTTTCTGGTGATCCAGACCATCTGGGACACAGGCATTCCTATGTTGAAACACTGAAGAACTTGGATGATTATGGCCCACATCTCCATTGTCCTGCATCTGTGAGGCCGTCAGATTCTGGACTTCCTGTGTAAGACAACTATCATTTAAAATACACTGTGCTGTTGTATTGTTAGAAGGACAATGAGATACAGGAACACATCTGTCGACATTTACGGGATGACGATTCAACAACCCTTGAGAGGGCTGTGCCTGATATGAATGAACTGGGTGCTGAGAGTTCACACTAGAGCTCGCCACAGGCAGAGCGACCCTGCTTGTGTTACCGGTATCTGTGACTGAATGGATTCTCTCAGTGTCACCACAGGGAAGTCCACCCAGAGACTGGGGGACTGAGGAGTGGTGGGAGAGACTCCTGGTTGGCTGAGACACCACACTCAATGGCTTGCCAGTCCACACAGGATGCAGCAGGTGCTGATATTGGTTTAGCTCATCTCTGGTCACTTCCCGTGCATCCTGCCCGATCCTCTGGATGGGAATGTGCCCGACACGTCTGTTGCACTGCGCAGCCATCATCGATGGCCCAACATACTGCTGACTTTCATTCTGCTCCTACAACACAGGCATAAATATTTTGCTGCTGCTGCTGCATCTGTTCAGGAGACATACCGCCTCCATAAGCAAGGCTGAAGCAAGAAATCTGGGAAAGTGCATGGTGATGTACAGTCTGCCAATAAGAAAGAGAGGCCACATGGCTTCAAAGTGATTCTATTCTAACTTTGATATCCTTGAGGGTAAATTCAGAACCCAGAGAATAAAACACATCAAGTGTTAAAATTGAGTGTTGACTGAAAATTTTTATTTCAATTACAATGCTTTATTCTTAAATAACAGCGCCTATTTGTTTGAAACATACACTCAATGGTCTTTGTTAAACATTTCCCAACAAGGTGAAGTTAGATTCGAACCAGTTCACAACTACACAACTACAGCCTATACAGCATACAGTGTGTGGGCTGCTCCCTTGCTTCTTACTGACTACTGCTCGTAGTTACCTGTTGTCTTGTATTCTGAAATAAACCATCCAGTCTGTCAGCTCCTGCCTCTTCCTGTAGGCACTGTTTAACTTCACTTTTATCTTCTTCTGAATCGTCAATATCAGGCACAACCTGCATTAAAAGCAAGATACAGAGTTTTTAACGTAACTTCGCATAGTGGGGGGGTGGAGTCTAGCTGGGTCCACTCAGCACGTCGGCCACTGATTGGCCTATTGTACTTGCCCTGGGTGATTATTATGATGGAGAATTTGGCAGAATGAAGATTGGCAGGGGAAACTGAAGTACTCGGAGAAAATCTGCCCCAGCGCCACTTTGTCCACCAATAATCCCACTTGACCAGACACAGGCTCGAACCCGGGCCACTGTGGTGGGAAGCCAGCGACTAAGCGCTTGAGCTATGGCATGGCCTAAGATACAGAGTTACTTCTGTGTCTAGCTAAGCACCATATCATCAAGGACTGTGAATGGCAGAGAGACCATTCAGACAAAACTGAATGATTAGCTTCGTGCTCTGGCTGGCACAACCAAACGCAGTGAACAGGAAACTTGATGGTTATGGCATGTCTTGTATACATGGGAATGTTCCTATTTCAGCACCTTTTCTTCCGTGCTTGGGAAAGTCTGTGAGGGCACAACTGCTCCTTTATTTCCTGGGAACAGGGCCTTTTAACATCTCACTAGAATGGCGATGGCAGGGGGGGGGGAACTTTATTAGCTGGATTGCACATGTGCACCATCACAATAATGTTAAAACAATCAGTAAAAGTTAAACATTGGTCAGAAATATCACTGCAAAGTTAGCCTACTCATTCGGTAACTCTCTTCCCTTCATTAAATGACCAGCAAAAGCAACAAAAAATTTTAGGACCCTACCTGTAAGAGCTCATCAGCGTATGTCCCCAGCTTACTGTTTGCGATAATAACACTGAGGAAATCCAACACTTCAGATGCTGTCATTCGACGCTTCGGCTCGAGGACCAAGAGGCAACGGATCAATGTTATGGTATCCCCTGACACTCTGCCATCACTATTACAAAATGAACATGAGCCATGTCAAAATTAACAAATATCTTATGCAACACCATCTATTAATACTTTCCTTTCCGATGAATGGATTACACACATTGTTCTAGGCCAGTTACGAGACTTGTAGCCCAAAGGATTTCCTTATTCTATAGTGCTCACATTAGCCAAGAGGAATAAAAGCAACTGATAAATGCATCACAAGCTTACTTGATTTAAACTTACATAAATTCGGACTTAACATGACTTTGAAGAAAGCAGTCTTCTGGGATTTGGCACCGTGTATATGTGGTGTTAACCGACGTTCCTCCGAAATCCCAGAAGACTGCTTTCTTCATAGTCACCGCCGTGAAAGCCTCAAATCTTACTTAACATGACTTCATGGTTTCTTCCAATATTAAACCTCTGTCAAGCCTCACCTCAGAACTCCCTGCTAGGATTGCCAAGACTGGTTGGGAGTAAATGCAGTTGTACAGAAAAAAAAAAAAAAAACACAATACTTCTCTCAACCTTCAAACAAAAATATAAACATTTCATGCATGCACTAGTATGTTACTTGTGATGCCATCTATTGACAGATGTCCTATACTGATTAACAAGCTGATACCTTTGGTTGTGGCATTGTTAATGCAAATATCCTGCTCCAATCTAGTCAGACATGGTGTGCAAAGAGTTAAACATTTAATAAAGACTAAGAGATAATTACAATATGTCCTAAAAGAAGGGGGGCGGGCAGTCCATAAAAGGCTAAAATGAACAATATTAAAGCTATTTCATGAATACATATTTATATTACAATGAAACACAAGATTGTTATCATCACTTTAATCTTTACTCGCAACATGTTTCGGTTGTATGCGACCATTACCAGGTGTTCTCATCATGCTAAACTGTTCACTGCCCTGCTTCTCTGAATTTTAATATTAAAATTAAAATTGCAATTGCCGCCGAAGATTGCATTAATAGATGCTACAAGGTGATTAAAACCGCTTTTACTAAATTTTATAGGGAGACCTATTTAAACTGAATTTTAATTTCAATTTTAAAATTGAGACATGCAGTGCAGTGAATACTCCAGCATAACGAGGACACCTGATGATGGCCGTATATGGCCGAAACATGTTGGGAATATAGATTAAAGTGACGGTAACTAACAATCTTGTTTTGCAGTGTGATGGAAATATATATTGATGAAATAACTGATATTAATGCAACAGGATTCTGAAATACAACAATATTAAAGTTAACTGAATATGTATTAATGCCGGGGGGGGG